GGGGGGGGGGGGGGGGGGGGGGGGGGGGGGGGGTGAGGGGGGGGATGAGGCAGGGAAAGGGGCAGTGAGGTAGTGGTGGAAACCAGAGACAGACACCGGTGCTTGGAGGGGTTCTTAAATTATATTTTAAAAAACTTTTTTTGTATAAATAAAAGAAAGTGGGATGTATCCCAGCTCTGGGGGTGATGGGGACCTGGGCATGACTAGATTTCTGAGGAGAGTGGGGCCTGGGTGTGGAATGCTTTATGGCCGACTGATGGGGGTCAGAGGTCTGGAGGCAGCAGGGCTCTGGGGGGGCTGGGTGCTTGGTTCACAGCCCTAGGGTGTGTGTGAGGTGGTGGGGTGGGGGCCGTGGGAGATGAGTCATTGGCAGCTGCATCTAACGGCTCCAGCTGGCCTTGCCAAGAGCCTGGGGCACCTCCTGGGTGGGGCTGCCCTCCCCCCCCTTCCTTAGCCACGGTAGGGGGCTGTGAGGGTGTGAGGGAGGGGAGGCCTTGAGCTCACAATCCTGCCCTGAAAGGGAGGAGGGAGCACAGGCTGGGGCAGGGGGTCTAGAGACAGGTGTGGGCCAGATGTTGACAGTTGGGGTTGGTTTAGAGGCAATGGGGGAGAGTGTCGGCCTTGGCTGTGGGGTGAGGGAGTGGGGAGTGGCAGAGGGGGACCCCCCACATGCACACACAGACGGCTGGCTGGGCTGGGCTGGAGGACAATTCCTCCATTCAAGATGCTGCCCAGGCAGGTTCTCCCAGCCTCTTGGGAAGGGGAGGGAGAGCCACCTGAATGTCTTCCCCGCCACTCACTCCCTCATTACCAAACTGGAAGACGAGGATGTGGTCAGTCCCCCACTCCAACTGCCCCATTTTCCTTCTGGTTCTTTCTTTCCTCCAGGTGTCTGCCCTCCCTCTGGGACACCTATGGGGCAGGCCTTAACAAGGTCCAGACTAGTTTAGCTGAAGCAGCCTTTTCCATTTCTGCCCTCACCCCCTGCTGTAGTGCCAGGACCCCAAATCACAGCCTCGGCCCCTCAGCCCAGGGAGCCTCGGGCAGCGATCCTGTCCCCAATTTCCTAGCTCTGCAGCCCTCTTCTGGAGTCTCTAATACTCTTGAGTTCTCTGTCCCCTCTCTCCCTTGGTGACTTATCGCCCATGTTTTGTACCCCCAAGAGGAGGTGGGAGGGACTCCGTCCTGCCAAGGAAGGAGGGGGTCCCTCCACAGGATGCCAGCCCAAGCCCACCTCCTTCTACCAACCAGACATCCAGGCTAGGTCAGTTGCCTTGGAGAGCTGGTGAGGGGAGAAGCAAAGGTTAAGGGAGCAGGACTGAGACAGGACAGGCAAAGAGTAAAGACCAAGTATAGGGAGCTCAGGTCAAAGCAGGTGGGTAGCAGGAGCCCTGGCAGCCCAGCCCAGTTCCAGGGGCTGCCCAGGGCCTTCCTGCCATGCTGGGCAGGTGGCCTGGCCAGGGGCATCCCTCCCTGCCCAGGACCCTTTCCTCACCACCTTTCACAAAGGTGGCTTCAGGGCTGCTCATCTCAGAGTGTAAGCACACAGTAGTAATACCTTTCTCAAACCCAGTGTCCTGCCTGCTTTGACATCCCTAAACCCAAGTTGCCTTCCCCTTGGGGTCCTGCATCCTGACCCACCCCCTGCCCAGTTGGCAGCTTTCCTTTCCTCCTCACAGCCCAAGCAGGATGTCCCAGCTCCTCCCAGAAGCAAGGACATGTCTGATGGGAGGCAGCAGCCGGTGGGGAGGGGGCGAGATATTTGCACCTTTGCCTCAGGCTGGGGTGAGTGGGTCGCTGGGGCTTGGGGGGAGGCCAGAAGTCAGCAAGCCTGCCCCAGACCTCACCCTCAGTGCGCAGAGTAACCCCTTGGCACTTTTGAGAAATGGGCGATTGCGGAGGGTGGAGGCCTCTAAGAGGGTCAAAGGCCCATTCACCCTTGGAATATCTACCCAGCGATTAATCTCATCATTGGAAACTCAGACTTCTCTGAATCACCTTCCACTTCCCTTGGTGGGGAGCTCAAAGCCATGTTCTTCCTCTAAGAACTAGGATTCCTGGGGTGAAGACTTTTTCTCAGAAAAAGTATCAGAAGCCTGGGGTCTGAGGCTACATCCCACTCTGCATCCCTCTTCCCTCCCCGTCCTTTCTGCCTCTCCCATGATGGTGGCCTCCCCAGGGCTTAATGGACCCCCCCATGTGGCTTCCTCTATGGGGCAAGCCCTTCATCGCCTCAGACCAGGATTCCTCTCCCCCCTGGGCATTTTGCATAGAACCGAGCCCTCGGCCCCTACACAGCTGTCTCATATTTCTCCCTGCAAGACTGTCCTCACAGACTCAACTTTGTCCACCGTAATCACATGGAAATTCTCAAAAATAAATAATTTTATTTTATCTCCTTATTTGAGGACAACTCAGGACTGAGCAACTCTGAAGGCATGTTCTGGAACAACATGAAGAGAAGGCAGGAAGCCCATGTCGGGGGCACACTCAACTTGGCCCTCGAGGTTCTGGGCTGTGGGGTGCTCCTCACCTGTGTCCTCCAGCCTGGCTCTATTCTGGCTCTGCACTTTCTCCCTAGGAGGTGGTGGGAAACAGACACGAGTCTGCATGTGGCCTTCCCTGTGTCCCTGGCCTGGCCCACTCTCCTGCTTACTCACCCCTGCCTGCCCCTCCTCACCCCCTCCCAGAACTCACATCTTCCTCCTCCTCTTCATCCTGTGAATGCACCCTCTGGTCGCTGCCAGCACTATGACTGTCATGGGCAACAGCATTCCCAACAGGATGGCCCCAAAGTTGGATGCTTCTGGGTGCAGGGAAGAGAAACAGGGACGTGGGATAGGAAGGGGTGGGGGGCCGAGGGGCAGGGGAGGAGACACTCCCTTTTGGTCCTGTGTTGCCACCCTGAAAGACTCATCCACCCACATCTCTGGGTGACTGGTTCTCTCTATAGGAGGCTGTCGTCCCCAGGGACTCCAAGCCTTCAGTGCTACCCCCAGCCTCCTTTTCGTTTCCAGACACAGCTCCCATAAGCTGTTTTAGGGGGATGTTCATCTAGCTGGGCCCCTAGCGTCCAGGGCGTCAACTCAGCCAGCATTTCTGAAAGAGGAGCCCTGGAGTCACTTCCATCCATGAGTCACCTGGGTACTTGGTGAAATGCAGATTTCCGGACCCACTCCAGACCTACTGAATCTGAATCTCTGGGGCTGAGTCCCGGAATGTACACGCTAACAAGCTACTCCCCGTCCCCAGTCTTAGGCCAGATGAAGTTGGAGAACCACTGGCCCAGAGGCCCAAGAGAATCATAGTTTTGGATAGGAAACACAATAAATGGTATTGGGGAGGCCTAGAGGGACCCAAGAGGAGGAGACAACAGCAGGAGTGAGGCACAGAGGTCACAGAAGTGGGCAGGCTAGGAGTCAAAAGAACACTCCAGAGTATGTGGCAGGGGGATGGGCATGGGGACTGAGTGAGGATCCTTGTCCTGCTAATCTCTAGGGATCATATTATAACATGATCCCTATTATATGCAATATGTATTATATCAATACATATAATACATTTGAATATATATTACAACATATACTACATTACTAATATATTCTCTATTATATCTATTAAAAGATACTATAATACAGGTAATTTTTTCTTTTTTTCGTAGCTGGCCAGTATGGGGATCTGAACCCTTGACCTTGGTGTTATAACACCATGTTCTAACCAACTGAGCCAACTGGCCAGCCTCTAGATACTATAATATGTAATATATAATACCTACAACATTTAACATTATAATATCTATAATAGATATTACATGTGTTATTATACATATAGAATAATTCTGAGGTGGTTATTGGTAGGGGACCGGCCTGGGATGCAGCTCTTTAACATTATAATATCTATAATAGATATTACATGTTAATATTATACATATAGAATAATTCTGAGGTGGTTATTGGTAGGGGACCGGCCTGGGATGCAGCTGTCACCTGGCTTTCTGACGGGCAGGACATCCCATGGCTCTGTGCAGAGGTGTCCCCCATAACCAAGTTCGCACTTGCAGTTGAAGCTGTCTCCTTGCTCCTGACACCGGCCATCATTCTTACAGGGGTTCTGTAGACAGGGGCTTTCTGCAAGGATGAAGGGATTGTGAGAGGGGGCCCTGGGAGGACACCCACAGCCTGGGAGAGGCGTGGCTGGGCGCTGGTAACTGAGGGGGGCAAACGGCAGCTATCTGAGACTGGCCAGGGGTCAGCTGGTGTGGCTCCAAATCCTGGCTCTACCCTCCTAGTCCTGGGCTTTGGGGAAATTGCATAACTTCTCTGAACTCCGTTTTTATTACCTATAAAATAGGGGTGCTATGCTTACCACCAAGTGCTGAACTAAGTACTAAAGGAGATCATGGGGAGCTGTTGCTAGAAAGGATCTGGCACAGTGCTGAGCTTAGTGCCTGGGTCCTTTTCCTTTGCCCCTCCCTAAAAAGGGAGGGAAAACTTCCTGACATGAATGTGGGAGAGTCCCAGGAAGGGGACAGAAGGGACAATCATCAGTCCAGGGACACCCCAAGGTGTGCAGGCAACTTGGAGCCAAACAGGGGTCCAGGTCCACCTCGGAAGCAGCCCCGGGTGAGGTTCCCCAGAGTACAGGTTTCGCCGGTGCTGCAGCGGTGGGGCTCGCACAGCAGGATCCCCAAGCTGGTGCAGGTGCAGCGTTGAGAGCAATCTTCATTCACAAAACTGTCACCCAGCTGGGAAAGGGAGAAGGGCAGAGAGGAGAAGTTCTGGTTCCATGCTTGTCTGGCTCTCTTTGCCCCTCTGGCAGCTATCTGAGACTGGCCAGGGGTCAGCTGGTGTGGCTCCGAATCCTGGCTCTACCCTCCTAGTCCTGGGCTTTGGGGAAATTGCATAACTTCTCTGAACTCCGTTTTTATTACCTATAAAATAGGGGTGCTATGCTTACCACCAAGTGCTGAACTAAGTACTAAAGGAGATCATGGGGAGCTGTTGCTAGAAAGGATCTGGCACAGTGATGAGCTTAGTGCCTGGGTCCTTTTCCTTTGCCCCTTCCTAAAAGGGAGGGAAAACTTCCTGACATGAATGTGGGAGAGTCCCAGGAAGGGGACAGAAGGGACAAATGTCCCTTCCACTCTTCCCCTTCTCTCAGGTACCTGCACTGCTCCTTCCATCAAAGCTGACGGCCAGCTCAAAATCAGTGACCAAGAACAGCCGCTGGCTCTGCAGGGTCACCTGCAGGTGCTCGTTGGGCCTATAGGGGATGGCCATCCTCTGGTTGTTGACCTGGAGAAGGCAGACAGGGGCTGCAGGGCGTGCCGAATCAACGTGACCCTCTGCAGCTTTTTCCTGTGCCTGCCTTCGCCCACACATCTCCGTGCCAGTCTGTGCAGCCATTCAGTGGAACAAGACGCCCCAGTGGAGTTCGCTATCCCATGTGGCAGAGGCCTCCCTCAGGCCTACTCCTTTTGCATCCCAGACCTCTTCCTTGCAAAAAATTGGCAAAGTGGATGCCCTGGTCCTTCTTCAGTTCAGGCTCAACCTTTGCACCACACGCTCTGTCCTCCTCTTTGCTTCCCCTTGTCTCTCGCAGGCTTTTTTTTTTTTTTTTTTTTTGTGGCTGGCCTGTACTGGGTTCTGAATCCTTGACCTTGGTGCTATAACACTGCATTCTAACCAACTGAGCTAGCCGGCCAGCCCTTTGCCATCTTTTTGCTCAATCCCACTGCCCTCCTCTGCCTCTCCCACAAAGTGAGCTTGGCACTAACTCTGACATCTATAGTTCACCTGCCCCTGTCAGGAACATCCCAGGGAATGGCAAGCCCAGGCTTCACCAACTCCAAGTGGTGTCACACGGCCCCGCCTCCCTCACCAGACCCACCAGGCCCTGGCCTGGCTCTTACCACAAGCCCCAGACCAGCCTGGAGCTGCACTTTATAGCCATAGACGGTGGTAATCACTTCGTGCAAGAAGACTGGGCTCACAGGCGGATTTAGCTTGTTGCGTCCCTCCACGAGCAGGCGTTCCAACCCACTGGGGAGCTCGTCCACGGTCTTTATCAGAATGTAGGTCATGCGGCCCTGGAATCGGTAGCTGAGGCCGTCAAATGTGCGGTAATGGGGGTCCCCAAAGACCAAGCAAGGTACCAAATCTGCCAAGAAGGGGAAATATTGAGAAGGGACTCTGCCCAGATAGAACAGTCCCCAGAATCCCTCCTCGACTCTAATGTCTCCCCTCCCTCTTAAGCCCAGGCTTCCTGGATACTTGAACTTCAACTTTCTCCCTCTCCTGATTAAAACCCTTAGAGGATTTCCCCATCCAGTCCCCTTTTTGCTCCTAAGGTAAGGGGTCCCGGAGAGGATTAGTAACTCACACAGGGCCACAGAGCTGGTGAGAGCCAGAATTAGAAGCCAGGCCTCCTGAGACTGCAGCTGCCCACCCCATGCCTCCTGCACTTGGCCCTTCTCTCATCACCGCTTCTCCAGGCTAAGCCCCTCCTTGGCGTGTTCCGGAGCACCCCACTGTCCACCTTCCCCAGTGGCTCCCTTACGGTTTGGTGCACAGTTGCTGTTGCCGTTACTGCTGAGCTGGCAATGGGACCCAGAGGGGCAGCGGAAGGCCTGGCACTGAATGGTGCCTCCTACACAGGTGCAGCTCTGGGTACAACCACTGGAGATCCAGGTCTTGCCGGCCTGTAGATGCCACAGGGAGAGGAAGTGAGTGAGGATGGAAGGGCTGGTTCCCCCTCCTCTCACCCCTCCAGCCTGAGCCCACTGTCTGAATGGCTTAAGTTTCAGAGCAATTTGGATCTCATGACCCTGTACCACCCCCGCCAAAGGCCTTGTGCTTGCTGTCTCATGCATGCTGTTGGGGAAGTACTACTGGACCCATTTTAGGTGAGGAAACAGAGGTAACAGAGATCACCCAACTGGTCAGTGGTATGTACAATCAGGATTCAAACCCATGTCAGCCTGCACTAAGGCCCTGCTCTTTCCACTACACCATGCCATGCCCTAGTGTTTGGATTCCTCAGATCCCACATCCAAGCCAAGCACCCCCAGCCCAGGCCTGGCTGGAGATAACCGTGCCACTCACACCAGCCTTCACAGCCCAGGGTTGGCCATAGAGACACGGGTGTCATGGGCTGAGAGAGGCTGAGGAAAGGAGAAGGTGCCATCCTCAAGGTGTGTTGCCCCCAATCCCACTTCCTGTGCCCACTCACAGGGATCAAGCTGCCCTGGTCATCCTTACAGCTGCATTGACTTCTGGGCACACACTTGTCCTCTTTCAGCACATAGCCGGGCTGACAAATGCAGCCCTCAGTGCAGGTGGAGGGGACTCTGGCACCCGTGCACTGTCCATTGAGGTCCCAGCAGGAAGGTGAGCATGAGGGAAGGCAGTTGGTGTAGATGCTGTGCGTGGGGCATTCCAGAGCTGTGGGGGTAGAGGAGAGTGGCATAAATAGAAGAGGCCATGAGGAGCAGGGACTGCAGACATCAGGCTAGGGGTGAATGAATGATCAACAAGGCTTGGGGCTTTTTCTTCCTTTCCTTAGTCATTCAGCGAACATTTACTGAGCCTGGGCTGTATGCCAGGCCATGAGGACAGAAAGGAATAGGAACGTCTCTCCCAAGGCAGTGTGGGAGACAGAGATCAGCCAGCACCTGCAGCATGACCTTGATGTGTACGGTCAGTGTGTAATGGTGTAATGGGGGCTCAGAGCAGGGAGATATTAATTCTGTCCGGGGAGCTGAAGAAAGGCCTTTCTGTGAAAGTAGCTGTGGACAAATAGACATGCACGCCATGTTCATGGACAGGAAGAGTCAGCAACATGGAGGTATCAGTTCTCCCTCAGATAATTCATACCTTTAATGTGATCCCAATAAAATACACCAACGGGGTTTTTTGTGTGTGTGTGCATGTGTTTTAATAGGACAAGATGATTTTAAAATTGCGATGAAGACATAAGCTAACTAGAAAAGCCAGGAAAACTCTAAAAAAGAGGAGTGAGGAGTCAATGTCCCAACCAAAAATTAAAACACATTTTAAACACTTGATGATCACAAAATTGAGTTTCTGCTACATGCAGATACAAATGGACCAATGGCACAAGTGAGAAAGTCCAAATATTTATGTGGGCATAAATACATACGGGAATTTAGTATGTGTTAAATTGTGGCATCTCAGTAGGGAAGGACAGACTGTAATAATGCTGGAACAACTGGCTAGCCTTCTGGAAAAACATAAAAACAAAGTTGATTCACAGCTCATACTGCATACCAGGAGAAATCCTCATGGGTCAAACATCTAAATGTAAAAAAGTAAAACCATAAAAATTCTAGAGCAAAGCATGGGCAAATTCTTTTTCAACTTCTGTGGGGACAGCATCTGTAACTATGACACAAGAAGCAGAAGCCATAAAACAAAGATTAATATATTTGACCTCACAAAAATATTTTTTTTCCTGCATGGCAAAAAAAAAGTTGAAAGATGAAAAAAATAAAGAACTGGAAAAACTCAGAGCAGTAATAAAGGGCTACTTTCCATCACAGATAAAGGACTTCTGTGAAATAGTTCAATAGGGGCTGGCCAGTTAGCTCAGTTGGTTAGAACGTGGTGCTGATAACACCAAGATCCAAGATTCAATCTCCATACCAGCCAGCCACCAAAAATAAATTCATAAATAAGTAAATAAATAAAACAGTTTGATAAAGATCCAGTGGAAATGGTGAATGGATAAAAACAGATAGTTCACAGAAAGAGAAATTCAAATGACTCCTAATGTACAACCTCACTCATAATAAGAAAAATGCAAATTTAAGAAATTATTTTTCACTTAGATTGGCAAAAATCCAAACGTTTGATAGTGTACGGTGCTGGCGAGGCTGTAGGGAGATGGGCACTCTCATACATTGCCGGTGGGAATGTAACTTCCTCAACCCCTCTGGAAGGCCATTTGGCAACAAATTATTTTTCACTTAGATTGGCAAAAATCCAAACGTTTGATAGTGTACGGTGCTGGCGAGGCTGTAGGGAGATGGGCATTCTCATACATTGCCGGTGGGAATGTAACTTCCTCAACCCCTCTGGAAGGCCATTTGGCAACATCTCAAAAGGCCAAATGCACACAGTACTTCACCCAACAATTCCATTCCCAGGAATTTATCTTACAGATTGTTACACACATAGAAAATCATACATGCGCAAGTTTACTGCCCTGCAGCCTTGTTTGTCATAGCGAAAGGTTGGAAACAACCAGAAAGTCCATCCAAAGGAGACTAGTTAAATAAATTATGATAAATAAATTATGAAATATTAATGGAATATTATGCAGCTGCAAGAGATAATGAGGAAGCTCTTTACATATCAGACATGGAAAGATCTTCAAACTAGACTAAATGAAAAAAAAAAAGTACAAAATACTGTATCTAGTATGTTACTGTTCGTTAGGAAAAAAGCAGAGGGGCTGGCCAGTTAGCTCGCTTGGTTAAAGCACGGTGCTGATAACACCAAGGTCAATAGTTCAGATCCCCATACAGACCAGCCACCAAGAAAAAAAAAGAGGAGAAAATAAGGGAATACAAATTTAAATTTGTTTGTATACGCAAAAATAAATGGTCTTTGGAAAAATACTGAGATGTGAACTGGGCCCATGGGGTCAGGGGGAAGGAGACTTTTCCTCAGTATCTTTTAACACTTTGAAAGTTTTTCAACCATGTGAATGTGCTACATACTAAAAAACTTTAATCCTTAAATTGAAAAGGTTCTGGAATTAGATAGCAGTGATAATCATACAACCTTTTAAAATAAAAACCACTTTTCAAGGGGTGAATACTATGCTAGGTAAATAATCTCAATTACTTTTTTTTTTTTTTTAAAGAAAGAGCTACAGAAGGATGCCCAGTTGGTCTGCCAGGAGGGGAGAAGAAAAGAACTTTCCAGGCACCGGAGCAGTGTGGATCAAGGCAGGGAGGCATGTGCAAACACAAAGCCCGCATGAGGGGGTGGTTGGTGCAGGCTGATGTGCAGTTGAGAGAGAGGCTGGGCAGGTGCAGCCAGGACATCACGTTAGGAAGCTTGGACTTAACCTTACAGGCAAGGGCTGTGCAGAGGAGTAACCCAATCACATCTCCTTAGGAAAAACAACATTGCAAAGGAATAGTGAGAAGTGGCTAGCAGCTCTGCTGGTGGGAGGGGCACTTATTAAAAGGTTATTGTAAATAGTCCTCATCAGAGAGACTAGGTCAGAAACAGGTCAGATCAACCAGAAAGGAGAATGAGGAAGTTTTAAGGGATACAGAGAAAGAAACAGGGTTTGGGAGTGGTTTTGTGTGACCATAGGGGACACTCACGGCAGAAGGTGCTGTTTCTCCAGAGTGGGGGCTTGAGCCCCTGGTCCTGACAGGCAGCCCCTAAGGCTTGCAGAGGCTTGCAGAGGGCATGGCTTAGGCCTCCAAATTCACAGAGATTGATTGTACAGCCCAGTAGGAAAGGCCTGAGGACTACATGGGAGGCACAGTTGGCCCAGATGGGAGCCTTAAGGACGGCTTCGCATGTCTTCCGGGCCCGCATGACGTCAGCTGGCCTGCAGTTGCCACTCACGTGCTCCTGCTCCTCTGATTTGATCTGCTGGCCAACAGTTTGACCAGGCTCTTCTGGCACATTCTGACAACTGGGAAAAGAATGGGATCAGCACAGGAACAGCCACTGCTCCCCC